GGCTCCTGGCTTCAGATCAGCGCAGCGCTGGCTGTTGCAGCCAACTTGGGAGTGAACCAGCAGACGGAAGACCTTTCTCTCTCTCTCTCTGCCACTCCTCCTCTCTATGTGTAACTCTGACTTTCAAATAAATAAGTAAATCTTAAAAAAAGAAAAACAAACAAACAAACAAAACATAAAGGCAAATAAAAATAAAGCTCCAAAACAAATAAAGGAAACCTTAACAAAACTGATTGGAAAAATACTGTTCAACAAAAACAGAGATGTCAACATCCAATTCTCATTAAAGGATAAGAAACTAAACAGAAAATTATCAACAACAGAGAAGATTTGAACAACCTTATCAACTACCTTAAACTAACATCTACAGAATAATCCATTCAATGAGACAATCCGCGTTTTTCTCAAGTGCATGTGGAACTTTCTCCAGGAGAGACCATATGCTAGGTCACAGAATTAATTTTAAAAGCTGAAAATCACAAAGTATATTTTCTGACCACAATGGAATTCATTAAAAAATCAACAACAGATGAAAATTTGGGAAATCAAATTTTTTCTAACTCCTAAATTTTTAAAATTCTTTCTCATTTTTGTCTAAATAAGTAATGAGTGAAACAAGGAATCACAGGAAATTTTTTGAATATTTTGAGCAAAAGGAAATATATATGGGATGCTGGTAATTACAGAGAAATTTATAGAAGGCAAGTGCCTATGTTATAAAACAGGCTAGATCTGAATTCAACATTTGAACTTCTCAAACTTTGAAATCTTTTATCAATTTCTTTCCAACCTGCTAACTTTATTTATATGTATATATTTGAAAGGCAGAGAGTGAGAGTGAGAATGAGAGAGTGAACTTCCATCCACTGTATCATTTCCCAAAGGCTAGCCAGGCTGAATCCAAGAACACAAATCCCACCCAGGTCTCCTACCCGGGTGATAGGGACCCAAGTACTTCAGCCATTAGCTGCTTTCCAGGGTATGCACTAACAGGAAGCTGAATTGGAAGCAGAAGCAGAAGTGGAACCCAGGCACTCCAACATGGAATACAAGGTCCAAGGTGATGACTTAATCCACTGCATTAAAAAAGAAAACTAAACAAAATATAAAGAAACTATTAAATAAAAATATAAAAACACTGGAGTGGAAATCAATTAAATGTAAAACAAAAAACAATAGAAAAAAACAGTAAGACCAAAAGTGGATATTTTGAAAAGATGAAAAGAATTGCCAACCCAAGGAGAAATGACACAAACTATGAAAACGTGAATAAAATTATGAATGAAAGAGGGATACCACCAGCAACCTTACAGAAATTTAAAGAATTGTAATAGATATAATGAACAACCTTATGTCAACAAATTAAACAATTTATAGGAAATGGAAACATTACTAGAAAAAAACAAATTATCAAAACGGTCTCATAAGGAAATAAAAAACCTGAATAGACTCTGTAACAATAAAGAAATTGAATCTGTAATTAAAAATCTCCCCCAAAAGAAATCCACAAGCCCAGATGCCTGTACTGGTGAATTTCGCCAAATATTTACATGAGAAATAGTATGTAGGATCGGCATCATGGTGCAGTAGGTTAATCCTCTGACTGCGGCACCAGCATGCCATATGGGCACTGGTTCTAGTCCTGGCTGCTCCTCTTCCAATCCAGTTTTCTGCTATGGCCTGAGAAAGCAGTAAAAAGATAGCCCAAGTCCTTGGGCCTCTGCATCCACATGAAAAGACCTGGAAGAAGCTCCTGGCTCATGGCTTCGGATCGGCCCAGCTTCGGTCATTGCAGCCAGTTGAGGAGTGAACCAGCAGATGTAACACCTCTCCCTCTCTCTCTCTCCCTCTCATTGTCTGTAATTCTACCTCTCAAATAAAAAAAATATTTTTAAAAAAAAATAGTATCTGTCATACATTTCCAGAAAATATTAGAAGAAGAAACATTTCACAACAAACTCTATAGGGCTATCACACTAATACCAAAGCCAAATAAAGATATTAGAAAGAAAACAAACTATAGATCAGTATCTCTCATGAATAAAGACATAAAAGCCCACAAGAGTATTAGTGAACCAAACCTCACATGTAAAAAGAACTGTTAACCAAAACCAAGTAGAATTTGTCCCCAGAATGCAAGATTGATTTCCTAACTGAAAACCAATTAATGAAAGTAACCATGTCCATAAAATAAAAAAAAATCATATGATCATTTGCATAGATGGAGAAAAAACAACAGACAAAATCCAATAACCATCTGTGGTTAAAAGTTGTCAAAAAACTAGAAATAGTAAAGAACTTTCTTAACCTAAAAAAAAGCCCTCTAATAAAAACCTACAGCTGCCGCGGCTCACTAGGCTAATCCTCCGCCTAGCGGCGCCGGCACACCGGGTTCTAGTCCCGGTCGGGGCGCCGGATTCTGTCCCGGTTGCCCCTCTTCCAGGCCAGCCCTCTGCTGTGACCCGGGAGTGCAGTGGAGGATGGCCCAGGTGCTTGGGCCCTGCACCCCATGGGAGACCAGGAAAAGCACCTGGCTCCTGGCTCCTGCCATCGGATCAGCGCGGTGCGCTGGCCGCAGCGCGCCTGCCGCGGCGGCCATTGGAGGGTGAACCAACGGCAAAGGAAGACCTTTCTCTCTGTCTCTCTCTCTCACTGTCCACTCTGCCTGTCAAAAAAAAAAAAAAAAAAAAAATAGAAAAAAACAAAACAAACCAAAAAAAAACCTACAGCTAAGATCATGCTCAATGGCAAAAAATCAAATGCTTTCCCCTAAAGATTGATGAGGACTCAAAGTTCCAGAAGATCTAGCCAGTACAACCAACCAAGAAAAGAAGGCATCCAGACTGCTAAAGATGTAAAATACCATTATTCACAGATGACAGAATTCTTTACCAAGAAGCAGCTGCTGTGGTACAACAGGTTAAGTCACTGCTTGGGAAGCCAAATGCCATATTAAAGCACTTGGGTCAAGTACTGTTTCTGAGACAGATTCCTGGTAGTGTGTGCTCTGTTATTTTCAAGTGAAGAAATAATGTCCATTTGTGGCGTTGAATGCAATGAGAAACTTAAAAATTGTACATTACATGTTAGCTGTATTTCTTTGATTATATTTTATTTTATGCAAGACTTCTGAATGTTTGCCACTACTTCTTATACTTGAACCTGCAAATGTCTTGGATCAAAAGGTTATGGAACAATAGTGGGCAGAGGCATGAATCTGTGCTCACATTCACTGTTTTTGTTGTTGTTGTTGTTGTTTTGTTTTTTGGTTGTTGTTGTTTAAGATTTATTTATTTGAAAGGCAGAGTTGGAGAGGGGGAGGGGGAGGGGGAGAGTTTTCCATCAGCTGGTTCACTCCTCAAATGGCCACAATAGCCAGCGCTGGGCCAATCTGAAGCCAGGAGCATGGAGCTTCTTTTGAGTCTCCTGTTTTCCCAGGCCATAAGCAGAGAGCTAGACCAGAAGTGGGGCAGCTGGGACTCAAGCAAGCATCCATATGGGATGACAGCACTGCAGGCAGCGGCTTTACTCCCTACGCCACAGCGCCAGCTCCTCTCACACTCACTGTTAAAATCAGTAGTAGCTATCATATAAATTTGGAAAAACTAAAATCCTTTCCTAAAATTACTACTGTGTAAAATATTAAGAACCTTCTTATCTTCAATTTTAGTAATAAAACATGGCTTTATTTTATATTCACTAACAATTTTACTTCTGAGGCCAGCTTCATGGTGCAGCAGGTTAACCCACCACTACATTCCATGTGAGTGCCAGTTCAAGTTCTAGCTACTCCACATTTGATCAGTTCATTTTTTTTTCTTTTGTTAAAAATTTATTTATTTATTTGAAAGGAAGAGTTACAGAGAGGCAGAGGCAGAGAGAGGGGGGTCTTCCATATGTTGGTTAACTCCCCTGAGGGCCACGACGGCTGGAGCTGTACCAATCCCAAGACAGGAACTTCTTCCGGCTCCTCCACGTGGGTCCAGGGGCCATCTTGTACCGCTTTCCCAGGCCATAGCAGAGTGCTGGATCACAAGTAGAGCAGCTGAGACTTGAACCAGCAACCATATGGGAAGCCAGTACTGCAGGAAGCAGCTTTACCCACTACACCACAGCGCTGTCCCCTGTATTAAGTTTTTAAATCACATTACTAGAAATTACTAGATTTGGGCCAATGCTGTAGCTGTAGCTGTAGCGTAGTAAGCTAAGCTTCCCCCTGTGGTGCCAGTATCCCATATGGGCGCCAGTTCAAGTTCCGGCTGCTCCTCTTCTGATCCAGCTCTGTTATGGCCTAGGAAAGCAGAAGATAGCCCAAGCGTTGGGTCCCTGCACCTGCATGGGAGACCCAGAAGAAGCTCCTGGCTCCTGGCTTCAGATCGGCCCAGCTCCCACCAGCTGTTACAACATCTTGGGGAGTGAACCAGTAGATGAAAGACTTTCTCTCTGTCTCTCCCTCCCTGTGTCTGTAACTCTACCTCTCAAATAATTTAAAAAAAAAAAAAAAAAAAGACCATTTGCAAAGCAAATATTTAAAAAAAAAAAAGTTACTAGATTTAAATACATGTTCAACTCGTTTCTTTCTTTCTTCACAAACATGTAATTACCTGTCTTCTCCACTCTTAGGCTGTGTGTTTATGTAGTCTCCATCAGTCAATTGAAATATTTCAAGTAACTAAAATACAGTAGTAATCCCCAGTCCTATGTTAACCAAAATCTCATTTCTAAAAACTTTAGGTCAGAGTAGATATACTACCCTTAGTTGAATATCACTAAGCAACTAAGTTAGTTCAGAAAAATGAAAAAGAAAATATAGTAAGTTCTAAATGGTACCAAGGTAGATGAAAAACTGCTTTTTTAAAAAGCAAATTTTAAGTCTATTCTTCTTCCCTTTTGAACACCAAAAATACACTAAGTTCTTCCTAAGAAAATTAACTTTGATTAATGTATCAAGCCATCACAGAGTTTTCTTAAAGTTAGGGAATACTTTAAAGTTATCTTACCGATTTGTTCCATCCAGATTTGATTTGTGGATGAAATTAAGCTTTGCATCTGCCCAATAAAGTTTTCGTTCCTCATAATCCAAAGTTAATCCATTTGGCCAGTAAATTTCAGTGTTTATTATAACAAAGCGACTTGAGCCATCCATTCCAGCACGTTCTATCTTTGGCACCTCTCCCCAATCTGTCCAGTACATGAACCTAGAAATCATAAAAACAAAACCATGACATAAACATAACCAAAAACTCTGTAATTATAACTAATAGTTAAAAAAAAAAACCTGAAGCCCCTAAAAACCATGATATCAAAGCATACTGGGAGAAAAGATACTTGTAGCTTCTCAGTGTACCTCTCCACATATTGCTTATCAACAACAAAATAGAAAATGGTAACCTTAGAGAAAATAAAGCCAGTGGACACCACTTTAAGCAAGACATCGAAGTTAATGTTGCCAATGAAGGAACAAACTGTGGTCATATACCTCAATGTGATGCACCCAAAAGAACACAGCATCTCTCACGTAGTATCTCTTACATGGTATTTCTGTCCAAAATTCTTAGGAAACAAAGAGACTCAAATTGAGGGACATTTTGCAAACAACCGATCTTTGATTGTCAAAGAAAGGCTGATGAACCAATGTAGATTGGAGGAAAATAAAAAAAAATACAGTAACTGCATGAAGCTTGTGATCCTGAACTGATTAGGTAAGGAAAATGATATAAAGATAATGGAGGCAGGCGATGGGACAAAATTCTTGGAGCATCAAACTGTATGCCAGTACTGTACTAATGTTCAATTTCCTAAATATTCCAATTGTACTGTGGTTAGAATGCATAGGAATTCATCATACTACTTTTGCTCCATCTACAAGCTTGAGGGTTCTGTGATTGCTTGCTTATTTGTTTTCAAAATAAAATGAAAACTCTAATAGTCTCATTACAGAGGATAAGGAAACTTTTGGGGGCTGGAATTGTGGTGTAGTAAGTTAAGCAACTGTCTGCAGTGCCAGCATCCCATATGGGTACCAGCTCTTGTCCCAGCTTCTCCACTTCCATTCCAGCTCCCTGTTGATGGCCTGGGAAGACAACAGCAGATGGCCCTAGTGGTTGGGCTCCTACATGTGCACCTGCACCTGCATGGGAGACACAGAAGAAGTTCCTGGCTTCTGGCTTTGGATGGGTCCAGCTCCGGCCATTGTGGCCATCTGGGGAGTGAACCAACAGATGGAAGACCTTTCTGTCTCTCCTTCTCTCTGTCTACAGCTATGCCTCTCAAGTAAATAAATAAATCTTTAAAAAAAATTTTTCCCTAACATGTCATATGTCCATTGAAAATATACATTTTAAAAGTTAATAGGGTTTCTATGAACTAGATATGAAGCAGTCATAGAACTAGATATGAAGCAAGCAGGCTCTCCTTGCCTCAGCCTCTCTGTAGCTCTGCCTTTCAAATAAATCTATAAATCTTTAAAAAAAAAAAAAAAGGCAGAGAGAGCACTAGTAGTAGGTAAAGCCACCGCCTGCAGTGCCAACATCCTATATGGACACCAATTCGAGTCCTGGCTGCTCCATTTCCAATCCAGGTCTCTGCTATGGCCTGGGGGTACAATAAAAGATGGCCCAAATCTTTGGGCCCCTGCACCCATGTGGGAGACCTGGAGGAAGCTTCAGACAGGCTCATGCACAGCCACTGTGGCCATCTGGAGAGTGAGCCAGCAGATGGAAGACACCCCCCCCACACACACACCTATCTATCTGTCTTTTGCTCTCTGCCAAATAAATAAAAAAAAAGGAAAACCCTAACTTTTCATTAACTGTTAAATGAACAAAACTAAATTTAGTACATCCACATAACCAATTAGTAGTGAGAAATAAAAAGGAATGATGTACATGTGACAACACAGAAGAACCTCAAAAACACTGTGCTCAAGTCAAAGAAGCCAGGCACAATATCACTTGTTTTATGATTCCATTTATATGAACAGTCCAGGAAAAAGCATATATATGGAGACACAAAACAATCAGTGACTGCACTGAACAGGCAGCAGGAATTCCCACTAAGCTTCTTTCTGGAGCAATGCAAAGTTTTCAAAACTGACTGCAGTGATGCCTGTGTAACTGTAAATTTAATTCAGACTACCGAATGACAGAAACAAGGTAGAGAGGTAGGTATTTGTCCACTTTTCTCTTCAAGAATAGATCTGACAGGATCGCTGGGGGCTCTGCAATCATCCTGCACAAGAGTAATGGCTCCATTCCTGCAGCAGGAACAGATTTGGCTTTACAGACTGAATTCCACCCACAAAGATCACTAAATAGTTGAAATTACTTTGCAGAATACTCAAAAAATTCTGACATTCCCTTTATGCTGCTGAACAAACATGGTTATGAAAACTATGTTGTGGAAATGGAAGCATACAGGGACAGTTATTCAGTTAACCCCTCAAGAAATTATGATATCATTGGTGTGGTGACAGTAGGCAGGAAAGGACACAATTTGGTAAAGAAAAACTGACAGGCCTTGGCAATGAGAGATGAAGGAAGAGAAGGCACTGAGGATGATTTCTAGGTCTCTGAACAGAAACCAACGTCTTCAAAGAAGGAAGGCCTCAATATATACCAACATAAATACACAGTAATTAAATAAAACCTGTTCTAGTAGTACAGACAATATATTTGGGAAATACTGTAATGGAGAACTGTCCTTTTGTCATTAATGTACAGTTGTAAATTGTGTAATTACAATGACAAGTCCTTTAAGCTGTGAAAGATAGCACAGCACAAGGACTCAGGGCACAGATTCTACAGCTGGGCCACTCAGCTCTGCCCCATCCCAGACAAGTGACCATGCACAAGTTATTTAATCTCTCTGTCCCTTCTGTTACCCATAGCAGAAGGATCACATATAGACCTACCTCACAGGGTTGCAGGATTAAAGCAGTAAATATATGAAAAGTACTTGGAAGCCCTACATATGCTTTAGCAATTTTTTTAAAACAATTATTTATTTAAAAGACAGAGTTACAGAGAGAGGTAGAGCCAGAGAGAGAAAGATCTTCCATTCCATTGGTTCACCCCACAAATGATTACAACGGCCAGAGCTGAGCTGATCCGAAGCCAGGAGCCAGGAGCATCTTCCAGGTCTCCCACATGGGTGCAGGGGCCCAAGGACTTAAGTCATCTTCTACTGCTTTCCCAGGCCACAGCAGAGAGCTGGATCGGAAGAAGAGCAGCTGGGACTCGAACCGGCGCCCATATGGGATGCCAGCGCTGTAGACTGGGGTTTTAACCCACTGCATCACAGCGCTAGCCCCTTTAGCAATTTTTAAGTCATAAATTCCTTGTCTATGACTTGCAGCATGTAGAATAACAGGCAAAAATCACTGAAATAATCCTTAACTTTTACCCTCTGGCTCGTACCAACCTCTTCCGATTCCATTTACGTCATGTGACGCTTCTACTTATTCATGTATACTAGGCCCTCAGAGCTTCCACACTCCCTGGTGCCATAAGACATGTCCCCTACAAATAACCTTTCAGAGTTCAGCTTCAACAGTACTTCTGTTAAGAAACCTCTCATAAACCCCAAATTAGGTTGCACACTGCCTTTCCAAATACTTCATACTTTCAGAGAAATTTATTAACTAAAACTGATTACTTAGTGTTTATCAACACCTCTAACTTGATGTTGTATGTTTTGCTTTTCTATTTTGTTTTCTGCACTTTTCTAAAGAAAGGTTTCCTTTTTAAAGAAAAAAAGGCAAATGAAAGACAAACCTAGTTTCTCAGATGAGAAAGAATCCCTTGTGCTGCAGCTCATAGATTCCAACGTCATTTGTTCTGAATAACATGACTGACTAGATGACAGATTTCTTGCCCAAAAGAGCTGGCAGAAGGGAAATACCATGTTTGAAGAATAAACTTGTACAGAAATTTACTAGAGATTCCCAAAGAATTTGGTGGTAACATTTTATTACACAGTTTGACTTACTAATTTGTACAATCTGAGTGCCAACCGTCCAAAGGTCATGCTATGCGTCACTATTTTAATAAGTTTCAGCTAATAGCTCACTATTCTAGGTACTATGGAAAGTTAAAAATAAAAAGCTGGCTTTCAGAGAACTGTCAATGACATAACACAACAGCTCCTAGTAGCTTAGTATCACCCCATGCACCACTTACTCTTTTATTATGGTTCAATCTGAGTTTAGGGTATTCGTATCTGGAAATTTTCATCTTTGTAAATCCTTTCACTGCCCCCACAAACCCCGACAGCCAGTTCTGGAGGGCAGGAGACTGAGCTGAATATATCCCCTCTCAATCAGCCATTATTCTTCTAAATTAACTGCCTTGTTAAGAAGTTGTATGCACACAAAGAACCACCCAACAATGGCAAATAGCTCAAATTAAAAATCAAGCTTTTTCTACCTATTCCAAGATGCATACTTTCTCAATGTTTTCATAACTGTTAAATTTACAAAGTACTGAACAACTCAGGAACAGTTACTATAAATAAGGCTTATCAAGTTTTAGAGTCCCTCATTTCCAAAGCCACCTTCAACAGCCTGTTCTTAATTTTGTCGTCATCACTGCTTTGCATGGTTTCCAATGTGTGAACTTCAGTTACCACAGTTTAGCTAAATAACACTAGTCCAAGCAACATGGTTCAAATTTCAGTGATCACATAATGTTAAATGTAATTGCATACAAAGGACAAACTTCATACCAACTCCATACATGACAGATGTGCATCACAAAGTTTGTCAGTAACTGGTCACTGCCCATTTGTTATGCTGTTCATGCACAGACAGTAATGAGTATGTATAGCTATGTCGCCTCCTTGTTTTCTACTGATAAAGTCCAAGCAACATTTTACCAAAATAGATACTTAAACAAGAGAATTCACAAAGAAAGATGAAAGTGCAGCAAAGAAAGGAAAGTGATAACATTGAGGGTAAAATATGAATTCAGGAGCTATATGCATAGCCTGCAGTGCCAGCATCCCAAATGAGCACCAGTTTGAGCCCTGCCTGCTCCACTTCCAATTCAGCTCCCTGCTAATATACCTGGGAAAGCAGCAGCAGATGGCCCAAGTATATGGGCCCCTGAACCCACATGGGAGACCAGCAAGAAGCAACTGGCTCCTGATCAACTTAGGTCTAGTCATTGAGGCCATTTGGGAAGTGAACCAGCAGATGGAA